ACTAAGACCTCAAATAGATAATTTTTGAAAGACGAAATAAAACTGGATAATAAATGTTAATATTGCCAATAATCAAGAAAATGCAAATGAAGTTTTGTTTTGCTTCTCCTTACAAACGTTTAGAAAAAAACAAACCTTAGCTATTACTCAAGGCTAGCAAAAGCGAGAAGAAGTGAGTGCTGCAGACACAGCTCACGGGAGCACAAACTAGTGCAGCTCTTCAGAAGGCAATGTGAAAATATACAGCAAGAATCCTACCAATGTTCATACCTAATAAGCCAATAATTTCACTTCCGGAAATCTGTCATAAGGAAATAATAATAAATGTGATATTTTAAATAAAGTGTAAATAAAGATATTTGCTGCAGTTTAGTTATTATAGAAAAAAATTGCAAATAATGTGTCCAACAATGGGAGAATGAACTGAGCCAAGCATTATGCTGCCCCTTAAATTCATAATGATATGTGAATTACATTTCAATAAATCTATTTTTTAAAAAAACAAGTTCAGCTTGACCATGTAACAACATGGAAACTGGTTATGTTCCTATAATTTAAAATTTATGATATAATATAAATGTGCATGTATCATTATGAAAATAATAATAGCAGCCCACAATCACTGAATACTTACCAAATGCCAAGCCTTACACTCAGGTCTTTACATGTTATCATTGTTATCTTATTATCATCAATATCATCATTATCAGGGCCATCCTAGGAGGGTCTGAAGTCCAGGGTCACTCATCAACTGTGGGGCTGGCCCAAGATAAATAACACTTTAAAGAAGGCTTCACTGTAAAAATTTTCATAGGCCCCTTGAGAATGTCAAAAACATTTTTTTGAAACGGAATTTTAATTATTTCAGGAAAAAAAGATACAGTACCCTGATCCACTCCTTCCCTCCAAACACAGCCCAGAGCAGCAGCCCTAGCTAAACCAACCAAAAGACAGGCCTGAGGACTACTGTTACACTTACGGAGAACTGATTATGGGATGGTCACACTCAATGTACATTATCTCTTCAACCTCATAACAACCCTATGGATAAAATTATGAAATCTTATTTATTTATTTATTTATTTATTTATTTTAAAGATTGGCACCTGAGCTGACATCTGTTGCCAATCTCTTCTTTTTTCTTTCCTTCTTCTCCCCAAAGCCCCCCAGTACATAGTTGTATATTCTAATTGTAGGTCTCAACATGGCCTGATGAGTGGTGCCAGGTCCGCACCCAGGATCCGAATCAGCAAAACTCTGGGCCACCAAAGCGGAGTACGCAAACTTAACTACTCGACCATGGGGCTGGCCTCTCAACTTTTTAAAGAGGAGAAAACTGAGGCTTACTGAGATTGTTACACTCACAAAGCTACTAAAAGGCTAAACTGGACCTAAATTCCAATCAGACAGCACAAGCCATGTTCCTAACTACAACATTGTATTGTAAAACATGTACACCAATATACATGTAAAAACAAACAAAAAGAAAAGACAGGTGAGTGGGAGACACCCAAATGTGGCTGTCATTGGCTGGTGGACTTGGAATGACTTTTCTCTCCTACTTCTTTTCTTCTGTTACAGATTTTCTTCAGTCGGCATGTGTTATTCTCATAATGAAAAAAAAACCGTTACATAATGAGAAACAAAGTTAAATTTAAGGAGGAAAAGCATTTGGAAAATATCTACGTTAAATGACAAATAAATTATATTGTTAATAAATAAAGTGCTCACTCATTCTTCTTACAGACCGGCAGTCGGTATACCTCAAAATTAAACTAGCAAATTAAGAGAAGAATGTCTTTGATCAAAGCTAGAACAGAAAGGCAGGCTGGAGAGAAAAGGAGTTGAGGTCTAAACTAATCAAATGTGTTAACAGCCAGGGAAAGGTGTGAATGGAACTGAAGCCTCCAACGACAAAAGCTTCAGCGTCTGTTCTCTCCCCTAAGGCTCTGGCTTCTGGCAAAGGCTGCTGGTGGGCCTACCCAACCAATTCACCAAACTTCCCCAGGTATTCCAGAATCCCACCAAGATTACGTTAGGGCCCTCCAACTTCCCCCATTACGCTGGAAAAAGGGTAAAGTCAGAAGAGAAATTGAACCCTGTTTTACAGAAGAGATCTAGAAGGAAGATTCAAATATTCGGAACATTAAACAAGCTATCCTGGAGTCAAAGAGAAATTTATTTCATCAGGTTTTCCCACAGGCAAGGTTAATAATCTTCAAAACCACTCTAAACAACTTGCTGTTCCCAGAACGGGAAATTTCCACGTCTGTTTTCACTCAGTTTTAGTCTCTGGGCCCCTCCCTTTCACCTTCCTTCCCCCCTGGCCTAGAAAGCCCAATTCCAGTGTTACTTCCTCTGCAGAAGTTTGTCTATTTTATATACTTAGAAGGTTAATTCCCTTCTTGGTATCACCAACATCACCCTGAGCACCTTTAATTCAAATCAACAAATATTTACCCGAGTCATTAGATGTATACGACCTGTATAAGATGTATTAGAGCAGGGACTATAGAAGAATAAGACCAAAAGTTAGAATTCCAGATAAGTGCTATAGGTATACAGAAAGGACAAAAGATGGGCACCTAATTTTGCCTTAGGGAACTAGAAAGTTGTTAGATGAGCAATCCCAGAGGAAATGACTCCTAAACTGAGTGCTGAAGAAACGAACAATAGGTACCACCCCGTAGGCTAGGAGGAAGAAAGGAGATTTTAGGAATTGGGAACAGAAATGTGCAAAGACACAGGAAAAAATCTTTTGAGAATTAAAATGACAATTTTAGAGGACTTTGTAAACAGGTCTAATGATAGCCCCTACCTCACAGGAATGCCATAAAACTGAAGTGAGTTAATAAATATAATGAATTAGAATAGTGCTATACATGGGAGGTACTATGTAAACATGAGCTACTATCATTACCATTCTAAAAATCCATAAACAAAACTAAGAAACAAATTTGGAAAAATGTACATCTATATGGCAAAGTCACTATTCTTAATATATAAAGAATTCTTAGAAATAAATAAGATGAACATGCCAATGAAGTGAGAAAAAGGCAGAGACAAATATTTCTCATAGAAGAAAAAAAACCTTTTTAAGTATAACTTTATTCATATTCAGAAAAAGAAAGATTAAAGCAAAGTGGTCTTTATCAAATTAGCAGATTTAGAAAAAGAGACCCAGTGTTTCTGAGGATGTGGGGAACAGGACTGGTTTCACTTGGTAGAACACTTTGATACTGACAAGTTTTTCTAGAAAATAATTTGGCAATACATTTCATGGGCCTTAGGAAGTGTCCACATCTTTTGACCCAATACTACTACAACTACTAGAAATTCATTCTAAGGAAATAATTTTAGATGTGGACACAGATATGGTTACACAAATGTTAACTGTGGCACAATTTAAAATAATAACAACAAAATTTATAAACTACCTTAATGTTACAGAAGAATGAGATGATATGAGTGCAAGATGTAGAGTCAGACTAAGTTCACATCCTTTGTCTACCACTTATTAGCTATGAGATCTTGGGAAAATTATTACACCTGTCCTTATTCAATTTTCTCAACAGTAAAATTAGTAATAGAACAGCTATTATAGAGAGGCTGAGGACTAAATGAGTAAAAATATGCAAAGTGTCTCAAAAGTAACTAGGATATAGTAAATGCTCAATAAATATTAGACATTATTAACATTCAGTAGCAGCAGGGTAATATTATTTAGCCAATAAAAGTTATATTATAAATACATAATAAAATAGAACCATGTTTTTTATAAATGCTAGTAATCTAAAAAGCAGGTTACATAGTAGAGTATATAACACAATTCCATTTTTTGCAGAGAAAAATTTCTAGAAGATCTACCAAAATACTAACACTGAACATTTCTCTGGGTAATATGATTATTAGTGACTATTACTGTCGTCTCTAAATTTCCCTCTGGCTTTCCAATTCTCCACAAGGAACGTATACTACTCATCACAATAAAAATAGTATGAAGTATAGAATTAAACAACAAACACAATATAGGACTTTTAGGAAAAATCAAGTCAAGGTATCTATTCTAAACCATTTGACAAATCTCTGCTCTAGGCTCATGTTATGCCTGAGATTTCTTTTTCTAGCTTAAGTTACTTGGAAATAGAAATATTCAGAGATCTGCTGAGCGCAAACCAATAGTAATACTAAAATAATAAACATTAAATACAATGACCTGAAATATTATTGTTTACTCATAAAATGTGCACAATAATCCTTCCCCAATCTTGAATTCCTTAATAATAATTTTGAATAAGGCAAATTTACTTCTCTCAATCACCCCCACTCACCTGTGCACACACTCCCTACCCCCATTTCCTGTCTTACTTTTCTCCATAGCACTTAGCCAATTCTAACTTCTAGACATTTTATTGTCTCTCCTCCCCCTTCTTGAATACAAACAGCATAAGGGCAGGGGTTTTGTGAATTCTGTTCACTGCTCACATGCTCAGTGCTTGGGCCAGTTCCTGGCAGGCAGGCACTCAATGTTTGTTAGATGAAATAATGACTTCAATATCATGAATTATGAGTAACTTCTGTTGCATTTAACTTTTTAAAGAGGAAAGATGGTGATTGAGAATAAAGAAAAGGAAGTTAAGGCTGGCAGAAAAGGAGAGGGGAAAAAAGACTTTTTTTTCCATTGAAGACCCTAGAAAGGCAAAGATGACACAGTCAACCTAGTGAGGAAAGCAACAGCAAAGATGTATTTAAGGGGGAGCCGCACGTAGCATATGCTTTTTCAAGATGGGATTGCCACCATGCTATAAAGACTGTAAACTCAGGGACTGGAGAGCAGTGTTCAGAAAGTTTTGGGTTACCTGTATCTAACCTAAATGGCTTTCTCCATCTCAATCACCCAAGTGACTCAGCTCTCTGGGACCCAGTGGAACCCTGGATCCTGGATGTAGGAGCTAGGATGGTGGAAGGAGGAGGCAAAAACTCCAACTCAGAATCAAGGAATGAGGACCAGATGCCAGAAGGAAGAAGAGGCGGTCAGGTAAAGCCTTCCAACAGAGGTTGTCTCTGCAAGCAAGACAAAATCAATTTACAGGCATTTCACTGGAACTTTAGCAGAGGGAAAGCCTAAAATGCTTCTAGTGAGAAGGTAAATGGAAATTAAATCTCAAGTCTTAACCATGGCTTCTCTTCTACCACTCCGGTTTTCAGGACTTAATTCAAAGTTAGAAAAGGGATGCTACACATGCATTCCTAGTCCCCATCATTCTAGGCAAATTTCATTAATCTTGAAGTTCTCACTAATACTCATCAAAAAGTATTTCATGCTCACTGAAAAGTAAAGTCACCAAATGTTACATAAGTTGTAAAATTTATTAACTTGACCTACTTAATTCTTGTATTTAAGCAGTCATTCTTAAGTGTGAAGGAGGAGTGGTAGGGTGGTGAGTAGAATATGCAAATACCTATGCCAGTGTGTTCAAGCAAAAATGAAATGATAAAGCAACAGTTATCAGTGTACTCCTGACTGTCAGAGCAAACCCCACTGGCTCCTATCTATGTGGACTCTGCAGTTTGACATAACAGACCATTCTCGACCATTCTTTCCCATTATCGACCTCACACTATTCAAGCACTCCTCACACTGCTAAGTAGAAGCTATTTAAGCACTTGGATTCAAAGACTTTGAAGTGATAATCCAAAACAGTAGTTTCTTTTGCCGATATAGAATGTTTTCTTCCTGTAGGCTATGTTTTTTGGGTTTCTTGTCCCCCCAAATTAAGGGGACTAATAGGCAGATTCTTTGTTGGGAGATGGGACTATAAGTCAGTTCTTCTACATACTCTATTTTCCAGCCTTCTTACGTGGATTGTTTTGATGTTACGATTAAAAATTAAGGGCAAAAAAGCTAATTTCTTTTCCAGTCACTGGGTAAAAAGACCAAAAAAAAAAAAAAGACTAAGCTAGTTTAATTTGAAATTCCTCGTTGAAGCAAGTTGGAATAACAATAGAAAACATTTGTTTGTTTATTTATTTATTTATTAAGCACTTATATAAGCTGTAGTCACTGTGCTAAGCACCTTATATTACATACAACAACACTATGAGATAGGTACTATTTTTATCCCCATTTTACAGATGAGGAAACAGAATCTTAGAGAGTTAAAATAACTTGCCCAAGGCCATACAGCTATTTGGAGTTGGAGCTAGGAGCAGGAGGTTTAACTTGAAAGCCTATACTCTTATCTACTACAGTTATGATGCAAATAAATGAAATTTTTATTTAACCACATATATTGTTTCTAAAATGAATATGCGATAGTGAATAAAATGATTTAGAAAACAAAACAGTTGCTTAAATAAAACAAGTTAAATGTCTACCGTCTGGTAATAGATCCCTAAACGTCTATCAAAACAAGTGCTGAATGGCTCCTCAAGTAAATAAACCATCCAGCGCCCTGATATAGCTGTTAAATTATTTCTACGTGAATCTCTCCAAATGTTATACATTTGCAAGTGAAATATGCTGCCCTCTTAAGAGTTGTAAAAATACATTATTTCTTGATGTATTCACCGTCCTATTTCGGCTCAGTTTCCTCCCCTCCTCCCCCACTTCCTCTCTGCCTTCAGATCCTTTAAGTCCAGTTCAGTTCCTCCTTCTCAAGAACACTTACATGCACACTCTACCCAACAGGACGCTAACGTTAGTCACTGTGCTCTGTAGTTACAGGATGCTGCAAAGTCAAAAACGAACTCAAGTAAAAAATACAGCATTTCTGATCTATCTTCATCTGTAGAGCTATTCACTTACAGAATTAATTCTAAACATTCTTATTTTCCACTTCACACTTGGAATCTTGCCGTCATCTTGATTAGCACATCAAAAAAGTCTACCTTTTTTTAGCCTTTCTTCAAAAAGTTATTCTATAAATTTTTCCATAAAGTATTGAAAATACCAGAATACAAAAAAAAACAAGCAAATGCACTGTTAGATGGTAATAAATATATCACGCTTTAGTAATGTAATTAGTTTATTCTGAATCATTTCTGGAACTTGTGAATATAAATGCTTTACAAGTAAGTACAGTATATAAAAGTGCTAGTGACTTATCAATGGACTAATATATACTTTCATTCATTTACTCAACAAATATTTACTGAATGCCCAAAGGACTATTTCTTGTTTTTAATTTCTGAACCGAGATTAAGTGTACCAAGTAAGGACACAGGTACTGAAGTTAGAAGGATCTTGATTTGAAACCTGGCTCTTGTACTTACTGCTCAGAGACCTAGAGTAGTCCGATAACCTCCAGGTTAACATTTCACTTATCTATTTGATGGGAAGAAAATAACTACTCACAGGGTCATTTCCAGCTTGAAATGATTATGTAAACAGCACAGGGCCTAGTATGTACTAAGTGCTCAATACATCACAACCATGGTAAATATATTTTAATACCGTAGAAAGTAGTTGAAAGAGATAGCCAATAAATGTTCTTTTTGTCTTACCAGAAAGATGGAAATTTGTGAAACTCTAAAGATGTGTTAAAAATAAAAATCAGAAGGTCATGTAAGAAATTTTCCATTTTTTTTAAAAGGAACTACATTAAGTATATAGGGTGAAATGACCAAAAAATAAAAATAAGAAAGAAAGAAAAAGAGATGGATAAAGAAAATCTTGAAAGCTGCTGAGTTTGGGTGATGGGTCTATAGAGGTTCCTCATACAATTCTATTTTTGTGAAAATATAAATTTCTAAAAACTATAATTCCAATCCCAGAACATGCCTAACACATTCCTTCATATTCACGAGAGATCAGGATTTTAGCCTTGAGGTATGTTGAACTCACAGTAGTACCTCCCTGCTCAATAATTCAGTACAGGTCAAGTTTTCTCAGACAAATCTACCTTTCATTGTAAAGGTGAGCAAAGGGAATAATTACATGCATAAAAGGGTAAAACACATAAGCTTTTCACCTGCTCATTAATATATATTAAAACAGCAACAATGCACATTTTTCCATGTCCTTCAACATGAAATTCTGTTTGTTCATGAATTAAGCTTTTAAAAACAACTTCCACCTTACATACTTTGGCAATTACAAGGGATACATGTCAATCATATCTCAAGAACGCTGGGGAAACAGAAAAGAAATTCCAAGGAAATCCTAGGCACAGCCAAAGAAACCTAAAGGTGTGCACATCAGAGGTGCTAGTATCTTTAAAATTCGAGGGACACCATTACTAAAATATGTAAAGGTTTTACATGATGTTTCTAAATTGCGTTTAGGTTTTATCACTGATTTACAACCCAGCAAACCAGCACAGGGAAAGAGGCAATTAATTTTCTTGAGAGACTTAAGAAGATTAACCTACAGAGTCTACACCACCTAAATTAAGCTGACTAAAACAACAAAATTTCAAGTCACACCTCGCCTATTCTGGGTAAGCAAGTAAACACTAGTAAAAACAAACTAGAGCATTTAGTAAAGCAATAATTTTTGTGTTAACCTTAATTTCTATCACAAAGTGGTTGGAACTATCAAAAATATACCTAGTTGATAATTAATAAAAGTCTCAAATGAAGCATACTTGCCACCAGCAATCATTCAACGATAAAGCACATGGCTAATAAATCCCAATACAGCATCTTTTCACAGAATGAAAAGCCACCTGCAGTTTCAGCCTCGGTTTACCCAATCGGTACGCACATGCAGCCGTCTTTAAATTAAAAAATATATATAGTAATAAGTAAATAAAGGATACTCTTCTGGCCTAAGAGATTACATCTTTCCGTGCTTCCTGGACACCCTGGAAGTCGCTAATGCTTAAGTCAAGCTGTAACATTCCCCAACTTTGGTTTCACGCGAGCGCTGGACGCCGAGCATCCGCCCACTGGCCCCTCGTGACTCGGGCCACTTTGACGCACCGGGATGCGGCTGCCCTGACATTCCCCACCGACCATGACCGAGAAGGAAAACCAACTCCGCGAAAAGAGAATAGGTCCCCGAGGAAGCGTGCGGGTGTCCCTAAAGGCTCTCTTCGGCAGGCACCCCGAAAGCTAGGGGCCACGCCGCCCCCGGCGGCCGCACCTGCCAGAAGAGGGCGGGGGCTCGGGCTCGGCCGCAGGGAAGGGGCAGCCCGGGCCCGGCCCCTCGGCGTCCGCCCTGGCCCCGCCGCGGGGGCAGGAACCCCGCGCCGCAGGTTTCCGCCCGGCGCCGCCGAGAGTGCCAAGGGCCTAGGTCGGGGGCCGCCCGCGCTCCCGAGGCCGCGTCCGCATCGCCCGGGGCGCGCAGCCGCCTCCCAGCCCGGCCGCGGCGCCTCCCGCACCTGCCCGCGCCCTGCGGCAGCCCCGCCGAGCGAGCGCCGTCACCCACCTGGCGCTCCCGCCGCGCCTCCCGCACGTCACGGCGCGACCCCGCGGCCCTCGGCAGCAGCGGCGCGGGCGCACGCCGGAGACCCTGCTCGGCCGCCGCGGCCGGGTCGTCGCTGGGCCGCCGACAGCGAACCTGTTGCGCAGCCTGTCACGGCCGCTCAGGTCCGCGACGCCGCCTCAGCCCCACAACAACATGGCGGCCGCGGCCTCCGCAGGAAGCCGGGGGGCGGGGAGGTAGGCGACGCGCCGGGCAGCTGACGACCCGCCCGCCCGCCCGCTGCCGGGCACCGACGGCCCGCCCTCGGGAGCCCGCAGTGGGCCCGGGTGCGGCTCCTCACATCCACAGCCCCGGGCACCGGACCCCGCGGGCCTGGCCCAAGGGCGCCGCTGTCCCCTCGGGGAAGCCCCGAAGCCCCGGACCTGGCAGCCCTTCCCGGAGCTGCGACGACCCACCTGGCTCCTCCTCCCCGAGGTGACATGCTGAGGGTGGGTGGTGCGTTTCCTGCCACAGAGGACCCCGCTGGTTCTTTTTGGAAAGGGGCAAGCGGTGGCCGGCGCGTCCCTTCGGCACCCCACCTGGGGCTCTCGCCGCAGCCCTCGCCCTCCCTACGGCTTCTTCGCTGATCTGGGAGCACGGAGTCCCCGGGAGGGGGAGGGGGGCGGAGAAGGATGGCCCCACCCTTGCTCACGGGTCTGTTGCCGGCCTCTGGGACCCTCCCCAGGTCCCCCAGACGGACTAACCATACCCAGCCGTCATGCATTCAGCATTCCTCACCCTCCTCCAAAACAAACAGAAAAGCCCAGCAAGACGGGTCTCCCTACCCCGTCCACACACGGGAGCAGCTCCCCCACTACTCTCACAGGGCGGGAAGAAGACCACCCTCTCCCCACAAAGTCCCCTGCCTGGAGGCCTGCGGGAGCTGCACACTCTTTCCCACCCCATAGCCCCCTGACAGATGAAGCTGCGCCTCGGTATCTTTTTTTCTCCCCTTCCAGCCCCTGCTCTCCTCACAAAAGACCAGATTTCAACTCAAGTCACCCCCCGGAGACCGAGGGCTGAGGGCGCGCCCTTGACACAGCGTGGCTTCAGGAAAAAGGCTTTCTGTTAGTTGAGGTTTAGAGGAGGAGTCAGTGGGCATAACAAAATGGGCGTCCAAGACCCAAGAATTCTGCTGGATTGGGACGCAGAGTGGGGGCTGGGCCCGTGTGCAAAGCACATCCCCGTGACTTGTGTTGGTAAAGCAGAAATGCATGCAGAGCAAACCATTCCTTACCTGTTGGGGCAGGGGAAGGTAGCAAGGCTGGCTTGAGAGGGATGGCGCCGAAGCCCGGGCCTATCTGAGCTGGCCCACCAACTTAGGTGAGGAACTTAGCAAACATCAATGGTGATAAACAGGCTTTTCCCGCTCTCACACGCAGTGTTTTTCCTAACCCTTCGATTGGGACCTGACCAAGACCTGACAGACAGGTCCTGAGCTTCAGTGACACAGAGTAGCCTGACTCCTTTGTAGTAGTCTCGGAGGTCCCTTATCTACTGGGGACCAGTCAATCTGCAGACAAACCACCCAAGCTAGGAGTAGCCCCCCTGAGCACGTGGTCTCATTCCCACAGTAGACATCACCAATTAATTGTGGTACTCCCTTTCCAGCCTAAGCCTGGGAATCGTTCTCAACATAGTGCTCCAGAGAGTTGGCCTGGAAGGTGAAACCTATTTTTAATTCCTGTAGGCAGATAGCCAGTCTCCGTTTCTCTCCCATCATTTGATCAATGTCATTTGCTTTTCTGGGTTCTGGACCTGGTGCAATTCACCCTGAATCCTCTTTGTTTCTGAAAGAGGAGCCAAATCCTTTGCAAGACAAAAATGAAGTTTTTAGAAAGGAATGTGTAAAAGAGCAAAAAACATTTTAAAAAGTCTCCCTAAAATAAACCAAAAAGCTAACAACTTCTGATGGAAATTGGGATCCTTTATGCAACTGGGAGCCTACAGTAGCCCAAGCACTAAAAGAACTATATCCCAGGGTCCGATTCAGAACTTTTGTTACCCGGCCCGCCGACCCCATAAAACATTAACCACAACCCTGCTCAGAACAAGCCTAACATGCTCCGTCCGAATGTGGGTCGGAGTCCCACCGGAGTGAGGTGAAATTGGTAACACTTTAAGGACAATTTGTCCATCCTATCCTACTCTTTCAGTATTTATGTTTCCCGTAGGTGATACATCCACCATCCCAGTTCTTTGACTTCCTCTTAGGACATGCTCGTAATTTCTCTCCTTAGTATGTCCCCAATTCCACCACCTCTTTTTCAACTTCAGCACCAACTGGAGATCAGATATGTGTGGGAGCTAAGTCCTACTTAAGACATATAAGATACCTGTCAAGTCTAAAGAAGATTAGGAATTCTGTAGGGTGAAAGGTCGCGAGGTCAGGGAAGGGACTAGGTATGTTACATTTCTCCTCCTCTAGTTCTGCCACAATTTAGGATAGATTCTTAGGACTGTTCCCTAGCTTTTACCATGGGAGTGTTTAATCTCAGTCTGTTTTCTTTCCCTGCACTGATCCTCCCTTCAACCATATATACCCCGTGTTCTATCAATTTCCCTTTCTGTTAATTTTCAAGGATTCCATCTTTCACCCCATTCGTACCTAGCCTACCCTCAAAACAAACCCATAGTGGTGGGAAGAGGCTAGAATAGAGGACAGAAGCAATTTCAGACTCAAAGCGTCTCATAAGATAAATACATTATCTTATAGAGTAGGAAGGCTTTGAAAACTTGGAGCTCATATTTTATGTAATACCTGTATTAGTAATAAATCTCCCAAGACAATGCTATACACAAATAATTTATAAAGAAATTAAGAGGAAAGGGGCAACAACAATAACAAAATTTGCCCAGATCATATTTATAATTTCTGGTGCACTTCTTTCTTTGCTGTTGATCTGAGTTTCCATCTGTCAATATTTCCCTTCAACTGAAAGAACTTCTTAGTTCCTTAGTGTTTTTTCTAGTGCAGACCTGTTAGCTACAAATTCTCTTAGTTTGGGCGCCGGGCCGGTGGCGCAGTGGTTAAGTGTGCACATTCCACTTTGGTGGCCTGGGGTTCACCTGTTCAGATCCTGGGTGCAGACATGGCACTGCTTGGCAAGCCACACTGTGGTAGATGTCCCACATAGAAAGTAGAGGAAGGTGGGCATGGATGTTAGCTCAGGGGCAGTCTTCCTTAGCAAAAAGAGGAGGCTTGGCAACAGATGTTAGCTCAGGACTAATCTTCCTCAAAAAAAAAAGAAAAAAATCTTAGCCATTATTTCTTTCTTTTCTTTTCTTTTTAAGATTGGCACCTGAACTAATATCTGTTGACAATCTTCTTTTTTTTCTTCTTCTTCTCCCCAAAGTCCCCCCGGTACATAATGTGTATTCTAGTTGCAGGTCCTTCTGGTTCTGCTGTGTGGAATGCCGCCTCATCATGGCTTGATGAGCGGTGCTAGGTCCATGCTCTGGATCCAAACCGGCAAAACCCTGGGCCACCGAAGCGGAGCACACGAACTTAACCACTCAGCCACAGGGCCTGCCCCAGCCATTATTTCTTTAAATAGTTTTTTCTGCCCCATTCTCTCATCTCCTTCTGGCATTCCAATTACATGTATATTTGACTGTTTGATATCATCTAGAGTTCATATTAGATGTGCCCCACCAGTGTAGTAGTGTTCCACCACTGAACACCAGAAAAACCTGGCTCCACCCTCCTGATCCTCAGGGCATCTGGAGATAAGGAGATCGAGTGGTGGGAATCTAAAGCTGTGCCCCCTTTACCTTCTGCCTTTGGTAGAAGTTCATCTGCCTCTACTGTCAGCAACTGTGCTTTCTAGCCAGCGTGTCTCTTCTACTCTTCTATCCTGTAGAAAATAACACAACCTCACAACCTCTCCTTATCCCTCCTAAACACACACATACACATAGACTGTCACATTGATTCTATCCCTTCTGAGATATTGAAGGAAAGTGAGGTTTGTTCCTTTTTCAGTTTCTTTTTCCTCTCAAAACTCACATGAAAGAATAGATGTGCTGACAGTTGTCCTTTGTGCATAAAAAACTAAAGTCAAAGGCAATCTGGGAAACCAAGCGGAAGTTGCCCTAGTATTTGACCATAAGAGCAAATGAAAAGCAGGCCAGAGAGGGCAGGTCAGGGTCCAGGAAAAGGCCTAGGGCTTCATTTGACATGTATCTGCCAATTCATTAACTTCATTTTTCGTTCAGTAAATAGTTATTAAGAACCTACTATGTTCCAGCTACTAGAAACAAGGAGTTAGCACTAGTGGGGAGCAACTGAGACTCAATTCAGATGAACGGTCAAGGGAATACATTTGTTCCTTTGCTCTTTCCTCAGCTTCTTGACCTCCCACACTCTATTTTGGAGGCCTGGGGAAGATGAAAAACAGAGAAGAAGTGGAAATAGGAGTGACTTAAGGGAAAGAGGAGGGAAGGGAAATTCCCTAACATGGAAACAAGAGTGTTCTTATTGGTCTACTTGTGTCGTGCAATAGTTGAGACTCTGGCTTCAGGCCTGATGGTACCGGAAAGGCAGTACCAAGCAAGCAGAGGGGGAAGTTAGCCCAGACTTGGCCTTCTGCCAATACTGCAGGGTGGAGCCAAAGGCCAGATTGGGGCAAGGCCCTGGACAGGATGTGCCCGTTCATGACTGAAGCATCAAGGGCTTCCAGTCTGGCAGGTGTAGCTCAGCGAAAGGGAATCCAGCCTGTATTCAAGATTCAGACATGCTTCCTGTCTGGCATATTTTGCCCAGCTGTCTGTTTAGTTCATTGTTGCTGTCTCCAGCACAAACCTGGAGTGATACCAGTTCCCTTCTTGTAATAACCGAACTATATTTATGTAGCGTTTTGAACTTGACAGAGTACTTTTGGTTTTTCATTTAATCAACACAACAATCCTGGGAAGCAGGGTAAAGTTCTGTTTGTGATCATCTAGCATTGGTTGGTATGAAGAAAAAGAGGTGAAATCAGACGTCAGCCTCTTGCTGGGAGTTTTCCCATACCGAATTGTTATGATTTTCTTTTCCCCTTTTAAATAGAGAAACACAGGCCATGCTATTCTGGATTCAGATAGCAACAATGTTTTAGTTTAAAATGTAGAGTGAATCAGATCATTTTGTACTGCTTGGTCCAGTCTGGCCAAACAAACATTTTTATTTCTAGTATGCCTTTTCCTTCTTCCTAAGTAAGACAGTATCTTGAGCCAATGAAATATAAGAAAGATAACTGCCCCTGCCCTGGCCTCCACCCCGACGCTTGGGGGAGAGAGATGGAGTCGCCATCCCTGCTCTAGCACCAGAGCACCATGGGAGGGTAGACCCCAGGCAAATGGGAGGCCACGTTTTGCTTCTTTAGCTGATGTGCTTGAAACATGCCCTGTCTTGACTTCTATCATGAACAAGATGAAGATCTAAAAATTAGAACAATGAAATCGCTGCCCCAAATACCTCAAAACAGCTGCCATCCTTATCTACCGCAGAGAGGAAGGACCAGACGGGGAGAAGCTTTTGCCTTGGGACTCAGATGGAGATTAGCATTGGCTGCTTGGTGCTATTTGCCATTTCTGGTTTTTTCCTTTTGTGTTGCATGTATCCAATAAATAGGTCTTTTTCCCCCCTCTTCTGGTACCTATAGTTTAAAGTGCTTAATTCAGTAGAACCACATAGGAGGATAAGAAAAAACAAAAATAGACTGCTTGCAAATTAATTTAACCTCAGAAGCTGTTCCTCAACAGGTGGATATTTTTGGCTTTTTTAATAAATGAAAAACTTGAGGGTCAGAAAAACTACAGCACTTGAACAAGGCCATTCAGCCATAAGTGCTGAGAATGGCTAGTATCCAGTCCTCCTAACATTTAACAATCCCCCCCACCATTGTTTGCTGAGTGTGCCAGACACACACAAACACACACACGTATATAGTCTCTAATCCTTCAGATAACACTGGATGGCAGGAATTATAAACCTCATTTCACAGGCAAAGAAACTGAAGTTTAGAGAAATTGGATCATTTTTCCACAGACACGTATTTAGGAAAGAGAAGAGCTAGAATTTGACTCCCGATTTTTATGACTATCAAGTCCATGCTCTTTCTACTCTACAATACTTCCTCTCACTATATTGCAGCATCAATAATTTCTCTGTTTTTGTATTAAATATACATGAATAAGATCTTCCAAAATAACTTATCTTGTAAGAACATATGTTCACAAAATGTGAGGATGCAAACAGTAGGTCAAGTTCTACTTTACAGTCAGACACACCACGTGACGCTCCTGACCTTGTGATTCCTCCCTCTGCAGCCGGGGCTTCACCTCACAGTGTACCCCCGTTCTCTGTGTTGGCTACAGATTTCCAGGGTGTGACTTACATGGTCTTATTTCTTAGATTCCTTTCAGAGTCTGTCATGTAAATAACATAACTCTTTAGAAAAGAGAACCCACCTGATCATTTGAAGAGGAGTGGCAGCAATGGCCTTCAAGATGTACACTCAGTCTGGCCGATGTGAGCCATAATAACCAACTAACTGAACATCTTGCCGTTCATGACCACCCACATTGACCCAAGGTAATTTAGTAAGGTCAGATTACCCAAAATACTTTGAAATACTTAGAAAAGCTTCATTACATTCCAAATAGGCAATTTAATGAAAATAAAATCTTCTTAATGTCTGTGTCTGATTTTAAATTCTGTGAAATGACCTTATCTGATTACAGACTATTTTTTTCTTCTTTATTGAGGTATAATTTGCAGGTGGTAAAGTACACACATCATAAATTTGCCAGCTCCTAGATTTTATATAAGTAAAATCATACAGAATGTACCCATCTGTGTCTGGCTTCTTTTGTTCAATGTTGTAGACAGTCCATTTTGAAGCAACAGAATTTTTATCACACTTTGAAATAGTCTTCCTAGAATTGACTCATTTGTGGGAGGAGGAATTAAAAAGATTTCAGACTAAGTCATTTTTAAGAGATTGCCTGAAAATTATCTCATTTTCATCAAGAAGTACTTAATGAAAACCCTTGTGCAATGTTATCTGTCCATCCCTCACTTTGCTCCAAAAAATAATTTCAAGTTCTTTCTATTGCTACACTAAGAATTTTTAATTTTATGCTCTGGAAAATGCCTGCATTGTTTGGGTACTTAAGAAAGTTGTTAAGCAAACTCACCATAGAAAGAAAGAAAATGAGGGAGCTTTGGAGAGAAGAAAAAAAAAGAAGATGTTTGTTTGGAAATAACAGGAATCAGCTCAAGGGACTTAAGCAAAAAAAGGAACAGTTTATTCTATATAAGGTTATAGGAGCATGTCGGTGTTGCCAAAGGCAGGAATGGAGCCAGCAAATGGAATCAGGAACTGAACACTGTCCAGGTACCTTCTCTCTCTCATCTCTGTACTTGTGCTTCATTTTCTTTCTACAGACTGGCTTCCTATCCTGGAGAAGGATGGTGGAAGATGCCCTCACCTCATCACCACCTCACCCCCAGTTCCGTGTTCTGGGTCTAGTCACCTAAAGAACTGAATCCCTCACCTGTAATTCCAAATTTCTTGGGATGAGACTCTGATTGGTCCAACTTGGGTCAGGTGCTCATTCCTGGTCTAATCAACTGTGAGGAGGAGAGTGGAGTCAAGCTGTATGAACAAGTCTCACTGGCCCCCCCTCTTGCAACTTTGGAGTTGTACTGTCTGGAGGCCAAGGGGAAAGGAGGAGCAGTATGAACTGGATGGACACCACAACAGATGTCTTTTGTCAGGCAGACATATTAGTACTGAAGGCTATTTTTTTAATGAAAGAAAAAAGTAAATATTAAAATCTCTTTGCCAGTATGCTACTATCTTTGAGACTCTTATTATAATGGCTTAATATATTTTAGTTCACTCGGATGCTTTAAGGAGAACCTAGGTGATATCAAAGGGTTTTGTGTTGCTGTTTGATTTTTTCGTTTTCTACAAGACAGCATAGCTGAAATGGTATTACAACTCCAGAGTTCTCTTCTTCTTCTTTTTTTTTTTTGTAAGGAAGATTGGCCCTGAGCTAACATTTGTTGCCAGTCTTCCTCTTTTTTTTCTGCCCAAAGCTGCAGTACATAGTTGTATATCCTAGTTGTAAGTCATTCTAGTTCTTCTATATGGGATGCCGCCACAGCATGGCCTGATAAGCGGTGTGTAGTTCTGCATCTGAACCAACAAACCCCAGGCCTCCAAAGTGGGGCACATGAACTTAACCACTATGCCACCAGGCTGGCCTCCCAGAGTTCTCTTCTTAAGTTAAAAGTTCTTTCCTGGGGCCGGACCGGTGGCACAGCGGTTAAGTTCGCACCTTCCGCTTCTCAGCGGCCCGGGGTTCGCCAGTTGGGATCCTGGGTGCAGACATGGCACCGCTTGGCAAAAGCCATGCTGTGGTAGGCGTCCCATGTATAAAGTAGAGGAAGATGGGCATGGATGTTAGCTCAGGGCCAGTCTTCCTCAGCAAAAAGAGGAGGATTGGTAGTAGTTAGCTCAGGGCTAATCTTCCTCAAAAAAAAATAAAAGTTCTTTCCTGGAACAATGGTAGAGGCCTTGTTAGAAAGTTAAAACAAAAATACAATATTCTACCCCCAAACCAACAAATTCTAGTTAGAATTATGGTAACTTCTTAAGGATTTATAAAAAGGTTCCTGAACTTTGTGTCTTACAAGTTTAGTCTTGCTTTTAATTTGATGTAGTGTGTTGTCTGAATTGATTTGTTTTTGTACTTTATATGGTAAGCCTTGGGGCAGGGACCAGGTTTTGACAAGTATTTTATAGCTTATACTGCACTCTCAATACTTAGAAAATAATAATTAATGGTTAGGTTTTGGGTGTTTGGCACAAAACCCTAACTCCAAGTCTAATTAACTTTAAGAGCTATTTTGGTGAATGATGAAAGTGAGATGTGAAAAACTTTTCATGGCTTCTTAGAAGGAGTCAGGAATGTATCAGTGGCTGAGACGTGTTGAAATTTGGAATACATAAATGTAATTGCCTGGTGAATGTGAATATCAGGTGGTTTTAATGTTAAAAGTTTATAAAAACATTTATACTAGAATTAGTATCACCAAGGTTGGATTTAAGAGTTTAGAGGCCCTAAACACTAAAGCATCCATGTGTGAAATTAAAAAAAACACCACCACCAAAAAACACTAAACCTCAAAACGAGTGTCGGGAAGTCCAATAAGTTCTATGATTTGTTTGTTTGTTTTGTAATTTTGGCAGGATGACTATTTCACTGTCTTTTTTTTTGAACTCCCAAATGTTGAAGTATTTCCAAATAATTGTGTGTGTGTGTGTGAGAGAGAGCATATGTGCATGCTCACATGCATGGAGATATGTGTGGTTAAGGCGTGCCCTTGCTGCCAGCACCCTAAGAATATGCTTAGTTTGCCTTTTGGATAATCCACGGTGGGTACACCATGTTCTTCAGAACTCAGAATTTGAGTAGATTATGCGGACTTTGGTTCCAATTACAGAAAATTTGGGTAGGCAAGTTGGTGACGAAGGAAGCCACACCAAGGGGCAACTCCTTTATGATCACCTCAGGAGAGAGAGCTGTGCCGGAGTCTTCTACCTCCTGTGGCAGGGGCTCAGTTGCATATTTGAGTGTAAGAATTTTGCCCAAGTGTGATCCTGACTGAGGAGCAAGATAGCAGCTGTAGAAGGCCCTGCGTCATGGTTCCTAACTTCTTCACTAAAACCCCTTTGCATCATTTCCCCCGAGGTTTGGAATGTTTCTTTCCAATTTTTAAAAATAATGTGTTTAATATTTAAAAGTTTGTTGTGTGTGAGTGCATACATAAGGTGCCCTTTAAGAAAGGGAAATTAAGGAAACAAGAATCTTCAGAGTTAAACTATCCAAATACAAAATTGCAGAGGAAAACTAGGCAAAAAATTACTTAAAAGAAATGGAATGGCTCCAGATCTGAGCAAATTTGTGACTACAGATAATAAGAGTGCAATCTGGAGGAAATAGAAGTTTATTAGCCTGGGAAAATTTTATAAAAGGAGAACATCTAAGATAAATTTTGACATTGCCCATCCAACTGCTACCGTCCTACGAAGAGAAAATCTCAGACTTGTGGTATCTGTGGTTCCATTGGCAAGGCCATGTTTATCAGGGAGATGGGTACTTCATGCCTAGTTTAGCCGAGTCCCATTAAACTTTTCAGTTACTACCTGCCTCTGGTATGGTTCCGGGCTCAGCAAGCAACATTCTGATCATAACTTGCTTCCCTATGTAGTTCACCCCACAGGGAAAACATGTGCTGGTCATGCTTAGAGTACTATTTTGGACTATGTGACTGTGATAATTCTCAGCACAAATTAATACATTGTCCTAGTTTGTTCATCAGCCTCTGTGAATTTGGTTAACATGAGAGATGATCTCGAAAGGGCTGACATCTGAGGTTTTGGAGCTAGCAAGGCCGAGAGCCAAGGAACCTCACCAAGGAATGTGGCCTTTAGATTCTTGGGGGTCAGAGAGTGTGTCCAATTAATCTCTATCCCCAGCTTGCAGCACCAGGCCTGGCACCCAGTAGAAACTCAGTACTCATTTATCTGGACTATATATTCCTTAATATTAAAGCCCATTTTATAATTGCAATTTTATTTTATAATTACTCAAAAGTATATGATCACCAGAGATTTTTAAAAACTTAAAAAAAATTTACCCAGGTAATATACATGTTTAAGAAAAATTATAGGGGGCCGGCCCCATGGCCAAGTGGTTGAGTTCACGCTGTCCTCTTCTGTGGCCCAGGGTTTCCCCAGTTCGAATCCTGGGTGCAGACATGGCACTGCTCATCAAGCCATGCTGAGGCAGTATCCCACATGCCACAACTAGAAGGACCCACAAGTGAAAATACACAACTATGTCCAGGGGGGCTTTGGGGAGAAAAAGGAAAAATAAAATCTTTTTTAAAAAAAGAAAAGTTATAAAATATATATAAGTAAAAAAAAAAATCATCCATATTTCAATTACTTAGAGAAAACTGTTATTATCATTGTGGTATATACCCTTTCAGACATTTTTTATGAATAAAATGCATATATATATTTTACATATATATATTCTCACAAAAATGGATTCTTACCATAATGCAGTTTTATAGCTTTTCCTTTTATTTTTTTACTTAAATGATATGGTGAAAAATCTTTCTATGTTGATAAATAATCTATGGAATCACTTTTAATGACTGCATAGTATTCCTTAATATATGGATATACTATAACAAACATTCTCCTATCATTCATCATTTAAATTGTGTCCATTTCTTTGTTGTTATAAACAGCACTTTAAAGAACACATTTATTATTCTTTAAAATAAATTCCTAGAAGAAATATTGCTAGGTTGACATGTATACATGTTTTAAAGCTTTTGATATATGGCCAAATTGTCCTCTAGAAAAATTGCGTTAATTTATTTATCAACTAGCATGTTTGAGAGGGCCCATTTTCCCACCTTATTCTTTCTACAACTTAATGTCACTTGACATCCCTGGAGCTTAGGGTCACTACAACTTACAGGATCCTTAACAACTAATTGGAACTCCAGATGCAACTTTTCTGGTCATCCTCACCATGCTCCCCTAGTCCCAGCCATTGTTCCCCAAACTTGAACTCCAGCATCTCCTCCCTTCCTCCCTCCGTCCCTCTCTTTCTTTCTACCTTCCCTTCTTTTTTCCTTTCTTCCTTCCTGGTCTTGAAGTTCTGTCCGGAAAGCTATGAATGGGTATGACTGCCAGATAAGATATAGGATGCCAGTTAAACTTGAATGTTAGACAAGCAACAAATATTGCAGGAGTCAACACTATAAATAATATTTATTTTATGCTATAAAATGATTTATTGTTTATCTGAAATTCAACTTTACTGGACATCCTGTGTTTTTATTTGCTAAATCTGGCAACCCTTCCTGCATATCCTTCTTTAGTCTAATACCTTCTGCCCTAAATCTAGTAAAATTCCTCAAAGTGTCTGATATTTAGATGCTTCTCTTCTCTGTTTTCAGTGCTGATACAGATTTTTCCTTATTTTACATTTCTTTGGTCATTTTTTTTTTGGAATTGGGAGAGAAAAGAATCATTTCTTCTCAAGCTGTTATCTTTCCCCAGAAGTATACAAGTTTTATTTAAAAAACAAAAACAAAGTGAACTTGAAGGCTATGAGGTAGGAGAATATTCATGACATATCATTTGGAAAAAATAGGTTACAAAACATGTATTATGATCCCATTCAAGTTTAAAATATATCACTTTAATATGATAGAAATAATTTTTAGTGGGTTCTAAACTCAGACCTTAATTAGACTCCTGGTTCTGCCTTTCCAGCAGTTTTACCTTAGACAAGTTAACTTAGCCTTTCTGAGTCTTTCTCTCAACTCTAAAGCGGGCATGCAGTCTCCTATGTAAGTTTATTTCAGGTAATGAGATAACAGGCGTAGTGCCTGGCACATCCTACGCCTTACTACTTGTCCTCTGAGTGGGAAAGCATACACAGGACAGTCTTAATGTTGGATTACTCTGTAGTTCACTCAATTTTTGTTTTTTATGACACATTCTAAGGAGTGTTAGATTAAATTTAGGAATACTATTCAATCTGTTTTCTAGGTCTGGAACAATAAAAGGGCTTTAGTATTTAGATACACACTTTCTAAATCAGAATGTGTATGTGTGTGTGTGCATTTACCATATATTCAGTTATATCTCATCAAGGTTAGTTTTGTGTGTAAAAGAGAGATTTTGGATCCTGTATCCCCAAATACTCTGTCAACCACCTAGATGGACACCCCACTGGATCTCTTAGAAAAATATATGAACA